TGTTTTTGTTCACATTGTTGTTTGAGATTATTGTAGTTCAAAGAAGCGCAAGTTTCTTAGTTTCAATATTTTGAAGATATTTGTGGAGTATATGCTCACACAGATCTGTTCTAAGGAGGTTAGATTGGCGAGGAAGCCACTTGTAGCGTTTGTTTCAACACATCTGTCCTCTGTCACCTGGAAAGGATCTTTTTCTCAGTGTCTACACTTTGAAAATGAAAGGATGGACATTTATGTTAAACAAAAACAAAACCGAAAATGATTTAAATGTGTGTCACGAGGCCTGGGGTGATGAAACGCAGCCAACATACATTTAGAGTCCAAGAACTTAAAGAGAAATCCATCCAAATGTAATCTTTAGTTTACTTTGGCTGTGATATGCAGCAGTTTATTGACCTTGCTGACATCTGCTGTAGTACAGTACATGCGCTCTAACTCCTCAGTATTTTTCAAACAAAAACACAGAAATCCTGCTATTTCGCTTTTCCGAATTCTCTACCCACAGGGGAGGCAGCACCCAGACAGGCCTGGCTCTGAAGTACATCCTCAGGAAGGGTTTCCCAGGCGGCCGTAACTCTTCCAGTGTGCCTCGCATCGTCATCCTGATGTCAGATGGGAGATCTCAGGGCAACTCGGTGCTGGCAGCTGCTCAGCTCAAAGACACAGGCGTGGTTGTGTTTGCTGTGGGCTTACGCTACCCCAAGTATGTTTGACAGCTCCACAATAAACTTTCCCTATAATAATTCATTAAAGTATGTGTACATTTCTTTATATACTAAGCCATCTCTATATGTTTTCAGATGGGAGGAGCTTCACGCTTTAGCCAGTGAGCCAACAGAGAGCCACGTTTTCCTCGCCGAGCATTTCCATGATGGTGTCAATGGCCTGTACACAACACTGAGCACGTTCTCTTTCTGCAACGCCACACCCGCAGGTTGGACTTTCCACTGACAACTATTCGTGCTTGTTTGTTAAAGAAGTGAATGGGAATCCTTTTCTCTAACATCCTTGTTTTGTGCTGCACTACCCCCTTTTTTCTAGTCCCTCATTGCTCAGTGTCCAGTCTCCTCCTAACCCCTGTCTCAACCCTGTTCTCCAGGCTGTCGGATGGAGACATTTCCCTGTGAGAGGAAGACACTGGAGACAGTTAAAGAGCTGCAGGGGAACTACATGTGTTGGAAAGGTTCCAAAGGCTATTCCCCATACACATCTCTCTGTCCCTACTACAGGCAAGTGTTTAAAGGTTTTACTTTCAAATGTCGTAGCTGCAGTATACAGTACTGTGCAAAAGTCTTGACACGGCTCATCTGCTGTAGATAGTTGTTTATTTGTTTTTTAGATGTGTCACTACTTCTTTTGTCCTCCTATTTATCCAGATTTCTTAAATTCTTTAACAGTTCTTTAACCTGAAACTGTACAGTATGCTAAGTTGTCTGTGTAGAGACAACACGATCATGGGGTGGCTCAGGACTTTAGCACAGCACTGTATAGTTTCCTAATATGATCTGTTTTGGACGTTGCATTGGATCTAAGTGTGTAACAGTGTTTTTTTTCCCCCTCATTGCTCAATGAGCCACAAGACAGCAGTGGAACAGGGTAACTCCCATGTGTTAATGTGCTGTGTCAGTGTGAGGGTGTTAATACAAAACAAGCTACAGCAGTGTAATTCTTTCAGACCCTCCCAGGCAAAATTAAAATGGCCTTTGACAAAATTAATTTCACACAACATTGCAACTTTACCACAGCAAAATGGCCCGAGGCAAGTGGAAGTAGACCATTACACTCAGGGAAAAGCAGAGAAAAGAAATAAGGTGTGTGCTGTTTCTAGTACCTGAAACTGTCTAGATGAGTGCTAGCAATTCGCATGACTGGCAAATCCAACTGAGATCTAAAATGCCTCTAGCCACTTATTATATGAATCAATTGATGGGTGGGGTAATATGTTTCTGTTACCTAATAGGGAAAATCAGAGAATGGCTTATGGGGGTCAGTAACTTACCCACATCACACCATCTAGAAGCAACTGTTTTAAATGCTAACAAAATATTTTGAATTTTGTGTTACAGGTACAGCAAGGTTTATACGAGACACCAGACAGTCTGCCATAGAACAATTTGTCCGGGTAACAACCTCGCCTTGCCGCTTTTTACTTCTCTGAGATGCGGTATCTGCAGCTCACGCTCTTCATCTCTCTCTCCGCTGTAGATCCCTGTGATTCTCAGCCATGTCTGAATGGTGGAACATGTGTATCAGAAGGTTCAGAGGGCTACCACTGCGTGTGTCCTCCTGGCTACGGAGGAGACCCACACTGTGGTCAGTACACTCAAAGCTGCTGACTACATGCTAAGGCTATGTCGGATCTTGAACGTAGAGAGCAAATTAACCAAACCATCCATTTCTTCTTAGCTCCTGCATTATTGCTGGACTGCTCTGTAGACCTGCTCTTCCTGCTTGAGGGCTCTGCCACGCTCACCATGGAAGGCTTTCTCCGCCTGAAGTCCTTCTTAAAGCGCTTCCTGCAGACTGTGATTGGCTCTAACAGTCCCAGCAAGGTCGGCCTGGCGGTGTTTGGCGGGGAACCACGTGTCGAGGCCCAGGTTGGCAAGTTCAAAGGAGACCTGAGGAGTCTTCTTAATGCTGTGTACTCACTTCAGCTAATTGGTGGTGAAACAAACACGGGCCAGGCCCTCCGCTATGTTACCCGCCATGGCTTTATGAGCGCGCCGGTCTTTGCCGATGTCGCGGACGACCTTCCCCGTGTGGTGGTGCTGCTCACCGCCACTCCTGCCGCAGATGAGGTGGTTGAGCCGTCTAAATATGCACGAGACAGAGAGATCTTCCTGATAGGAGTGGGACCTGACAGCTTAAAGGAGCAGCTGAATAACATCACAGGAAATCTGCAGAGGACCCTCACCTACTCATCACCTGATAGGCTCGCTTCCAAGATCCCCGAGCTGAGGGCCAAGATCTGCAGCGTGGATACGCAAGGTGCTTGATCTGATAGATGTGCTGAATATGTTGGAACATTAATGCCACTATTAGGTCAGATGCTATTGCACGCAAAAAAAATCAAATTAGCTATCCATATTCTTTTTTTGTTTCCTTTTCTTTTCCAGGTTGTCTGGGTCAAGCTGTAGATCTGGTGTTTGCCCTGGATGCTTCAGGTGGTGTGGGCCGTGATAACTTTGCCACCCTGCAGAACTTTGTGCGCAGCGTCACCGTCCAGTTCGACATCAACCGTGACGTGGCTCAAGTGGCCCTTGTGGCGTACAGTAGGAGAGCCACCACTGTTTTCAAGCTGGACACGTATGAGACTGGTTCTTCCATCATTCAGGCTGTAGGTGACGCCAAGTACGTGGGTGGAGTGGCTTCGACGGGTGGGGCGTTGCTGCACATCCACTCTAATGTTCTCACCATAGCTAATGGCGCACGACCGGGAGTGAACAAGGCTGTAGTAGTGGTGACGGACGGCACCGGTGGGGATGATGCTGTCGTACCAGCTCAAAAGATAAGAGACAATGGAGTCTCAGTGCTTGTGGTTGGTATCGGCGATGTCCAGAGGGAGAGGCTGATGCAGATTGCCGGTGCAGAGGAGCACATGATCTCAGTGCCGTCCTACGAGGATCTCAAGTACTTTGAGGATGTCCTGGTGCAGATGCTGTGTTCAGGTAACGATGCAGGGGAACTTGTCTTTTACCAAACCTCCTAAACTATTTTCCTTTTCTGTTGATAAAGAACTGTGTGAAACTGATCTGCAAACACAGTTTTTCTTCTTTTCCCTTCACTTAGCCTTTTCAGAGATGTGAGATAGTTTATTTTAAACTTAACATGAAAAATAATTGGCTGCTTTGTGTTGATTCCTTCCTTTCAGAGGTGAAGAAACCTGTAAACCTGTGCAAGCCTAACCCATGTATGAATAATGGGGTCTGCATCTTGTCAGAAGGGAGCTTTCGCTGTCAGTGCCAAGGCTATGAGGGGCCGCACTGCGAAAGAAGTCAGTGACATTCATGAAAGTTTTCTTTCCTTATATCCTTAATTTCTACTTTTCATAGCTTCGTCAGTGATCCTTCTACAAAACTTAAGTGCAAAAACAAAGACAAACTGATTTAGATATACATATCCTGATATAGCATTTGGTCCCATATTAAAAGCTCATAAATTAAACTGTAAATGTAAATGGACAGAATTGGTTACAAGTCATGACTTGTTGTGTGGTTTGTTTGTAGGAAGCAGCAGGTCTTCATCCAGAGGGGATCTTCCAAGACCTGCTGGTCTGAGGAGGAAGAGCAGACAGAGGAAGAACCACCAGGAGCTTCTGCATCGCTACAAACTACACCGTCGGAGACATACTCCCTGACATGCCCTGCACTTATAAACACAAAGTATACACTGAGCATATGAACACTTAAGAACCGAGGATGCTTGCAGGTAGACGATGGAGCAAAGGGAAATCTAATGTTGCTTTGTTTTTTTGCTTCAGTGTTTACAGTTGCACACAGTGTCAGCAAGTGTCTGTACTGCTGAATCCATTTGTATGTTATTATTGTTGTCACTGTGCTCACTGTTGTGCAAATGTCTCAACACGGTTCTCTTGTATTTAAAGGATTTAAGCTTTTATATTATTAATCAGTGTCAGGCTGCTAATGTTTTTAATGCATAATAGACACAACTTTATTTCTTTACATAACCAAAAAGAAGGTCCTCCCACTCCCTCCGTTTCCATTTTTAATATTACGCTCCATATTTTTACACGCAAATCCACTAAGCTGGTCGAGGTTCATTTTGAAAAAAAAGTACATTCATATTGTTAAATCTAAATGTACAAAAGGTAGTTATACTCCAGTGAGGGGTGAAATAATTGAGGATTTCAAGAGAAGATGGCAGGTACATTTTGAATGAATTGATGGGAAGGAGTCTGAAACTAAAGGAAGGAAACAAAAATGTTTCCCCTTACAAAAGTAAAGACTTTATTCTTGTTATAGCAAAATGATACATTTAAAAAAAAAAAAAAATCAACCCATATTTTTGTCAGTATATTTTTATTTGAATAAAAAGTGCATTTTTAGCTAGCAATACAAGCCCAAAGGCTGAATAATGGTGTAAATATATTTACATCTTGGCTACCAGCATATATGAACCAAGCTACAATCTGTGTACAGAGCGGCTGATTTAGTAAGGGGGCCTCTGTCTCGTTCTTCAGTGGTTTTTAATTTCAACGTTTCAAAGTTTAAACGTAGCATTAATGCATTTCTTACACTGGCCAAAATGCTACTTCATCACTTTCCTCCCTTTGCAAATAGAAACAAACTTTAAACAGTCATTGAATTTAAGATTAAATCCAGTGGTATCCAAGAACACGAAGTGTGCCTCTGTGGCTCATTATAGTCTTGACAAAGTGATGGTTTGGTTGAAGGGCCAAGGGAAGGGAGGTTCTTGATTAAAATGTCTGCTCATTCGGTGGGTCAGAATGTGGTGACGGGCGACTAGACCAACATAAACTTCTGAATTTCAGAGGTCAATGAAGATTTCCTTAGGTTGTTGATTTCTTTTCCCATTCCTATGAATATAAAAAGAAATAGACCTACCAATTATAATATTTCTTTCAAGCTAGGATATTGACATTGATGCTTTCTGTGTAAATAAGAATCTCACCTTAGCTTTCTGTAGGACGTTGCCTTTTGTGGTCATCATGGAGGTGGGTCTGCCTTTAAGAGCAGACGCAGAATTGACCGGGGAAACTGAATCTGCGTTAACGTTGCTGCTGGAGGGTTGGGAAGAAGATGATGGTGACAATAACGACGATGACGATGACGATACCTGGGGAGAGCCTATCGTTGATGCTTTAGGCTGAGAGTAAAACAGCAGCGAGATGGTTAAGGTTCACATTTCAAGCATCACGCACTGATTTGAAAAACACAGAAAACATTTAGCAGATGGATTCTGAGGTGTATTGAAAGACAGCCAGCACACTAACCATCGGCGTGTCCTGGAGGCTGCTGTCCAGTGTGGTTCCCAGCGTGAAGGGCCCTGACTCCACTTTCTTCAGACTTTCCTTCACTTCTACCAACTGTAGCTCCACCTCCACCCTGTGCTGCTCTGCCTCTCGGCACGCCTCCTCCTTCTGCTTCAGACGGGCTTCCAATGAGGCCTGCTGCTTGGGATCTGAGGACAACAAACTGCTGTCAGTCCCCATGTGATCAGTGCAAATCTTTGAGTCATACGGACACTGCAGGTGTACCTTGGCAGGTGCTGAGCTCCTCTTTGGTTTCCCTCTTCTCTTTCTTGAGGTTTGCCAGACTGATTTTCACCTCCTCCCTCTCTTTCTCCAGGCGATCACGCTCCTCGATGTAACGCCGCATGTCTGCCTCTGTGCGGTTCTTGCCCAGCTTTATCTCAACTGCACCGGGGCATCCTGGTAATTGAGCATTTATAATTTTAGAGGACATAGAGATTTAATAACCGTAAAAACCCCAAACTTGCGCAGATCTTAAGCTGTGCTTTTAACTGTAGAAGATGCAGGCTGTCACTAGAGGGAGCCATGGTTATGTAATAGTACAGAATAGGAAGCAGGTGTCAAGGAAAGTAATAAGTACTTCTAACATATCTGCTTCATGATGAAAAGTTGTTGAATATATCTGTAAAAAGGTGAGTGTGGTGATATTAAAATGAAGAGCATGCTTGCTATATCTTTTTTATATATGCAGAACTCAGCAAACCCACTGCCCCATTTGTCCTGACCTATAGTATGTGCCTTGGGCCTTGCAGGTTGTGGGCTGTGAGGATGCACAGCAGCAGTGTGAGATGTTGGACCCTTGTGGATTTGTCCACCAAAGGAATTGAAGGCCTGTGTGATTCCCAGGCTGGTCTTCTTAGTGGTCTCTTGGCTCTGGGTTGAGGTCTTGACTGGTTGAGTTTGTGGCTGTGATGGAGTGGGAGTCTGGGCTCGTTCTTCTTCTGGTTTGCTGGTAGCAGAGGCTAAGTTTGTCCCATTTAATGCGGGCATTGAATCTGGCTCAGTATTGTTAGTCGACGTCCCCTGCAACCAAATGATGCGCAAATTATTAATGTAGAAAGTAAAAAATATTTTCTAGAGAAAGGTTTGAGGTTGTCAATAAACTCTAATTTCCTACCTCTTTAACTTGAGAAGAGGAGTCCTTCTTGTCATCTGCTGGTATTAGGGAATGTCTCGAAGCTTCTTTAGGGGAAAGTTTCCCTCCAGAGGATGTATGAAGGAAAGAGCGCACAGGGACGAGGTCTAGGTAAATCCTGTTTTCAGAGTCTTGTTCTGTACCCTGTGGGCCCTTGGTATTGTCTTGTGAGCATGTTTCATTGTCTTTCTGGAGATTGTTGCCCTCGCAGTTTGTCTGGCTATTCTCCTCAGCATCCTGTATGACACGAGAGGAGGAAATTAGGAGATGGCTTGTGGCCAGATGACTGAGTCAATATTAAACTGAAAGTTAAAATCTCAAAACATTGCATCGGGTTTCGTGACAGCGTACCTCTGGGTCAGCTATAGAGGCCACATCATCGTACAGATCATCAGAGTTGTGAGAAATAGAAGGTAGGGTGTCTATGTAGGTGTTTGGCTCTGAATACCTCCTCTGCATCAAGCTAGAGAGACACACAATAACAAATAACCTTGTGCAGTGGTAGTCCTCTCCAAAAGCTCAGACTTCAGACTGCTTAAAACACCGGCATTTAGACAGCTTTATATACTCTTCTATCTGGATGATGTCAAAGAGAGGGGATGTTATATTATTTTGGTCATCTGAGGCACTGTTCTGGCTGTGAACATAGCAGCTGCAGTTCAAATGTTTTGTTTGTGAGGACTGACCAATCAGAAGAAAGACAGTTTTAAAGCAGTGGCTGTGGCTTGAAAGATAGAGCAAACCGTGTACCAATCATAAGGTTGGTGGTTTGACCTCTGGCTCCTCTATTCTGCATGTCGTCCTCGGGGAATATAAGTTTCCCTTGATGCATCCATTGAAGTGTGAGTGTGTTATGTTAGATTAAAGGTGATTTGGCATAGAATAAAGCACATATGTGTGAATGGGTGAAAGACTCTTGTAGTAAGAAAGTGCTTTGAGTGCTCAAATAGACTAGAAATGCGGCATTTAAGCACCGGTCCATTTAAAGCAAAGTTGGACCAAAGATCAATGCGTGATAAATGAGAATTATTTCAAACTGTGAATGACGCAGAACCACTCTACTAAAGTCCAAAATAAGATATGGAGCTGGAAATCTGCATATTGAGGTGAACAAAAGCGAATAACTTACTATAAGGAAGTCCTCGCAGCATTGACAATAGTGGAGATCCTCTCAGCATTGACATAGTCGTATGTCAGCTCCTCTGGATCTGTTTTGCTTCCCGTCTGTGACAGCAAGAGTCCCAGCCAGTGGCCCATATCTGCTGATGTCTTAGCCTGGGAGGGGATGGAAAAGAAAAGGACAAGCATTCACTGTAAACCATGCACTTGCAACATCATGTTTTTAAATTCTCAGAGTTTAATTTGGATGCCATTTTTAATTAATGAAATGATTGCTACAGCACCATTTCCAAGCAGCGGTTCTCTGAACTAAACTTTAAGAAATGAACCGCACAAGCCGAGCTGTTAGACTTAACTAGAAATATATAAGAGCAAAGAGCTGTTTCTCGGATTTGGTATTTTGGATCAAACTGCTTCTTAAGAATTCTCTATTAAATAAGTAAGATTGAGATTGAGGCACGTAAAACAACCTGATATGACACGATGTGTTTACTGCCTTTTATTATTTTGGAAGATTCAAACAGCTTGTCTAAATTAGAAGGTTAACTATTACACATATTACATAATGGTTTGACGTTGCATATTTATTTGAATTAAAATAGTTTTAATGTTAACCTTATGACAAGAAGGAAAAAAACAGAACACATCCCTGAAGACTAAACACTGAATTCCATTGACCAAACATGCACTGCAGCTGGGTGGTACTGGAAGCTTAATGAAAAAGGGCGTAGCATTAGTCCCCCAAAAGCCCAGTACATCCACACCCTTTACACAAAGACGCACACTTGCACATGTACACATGCACCCACACCCACTCAAGCTCCCAGACCACCCTTGTGTGCGCACATATATTACATATGCTGTCTGATGTCAGCAGAAAGTGAGTTTCAGATGAGGACATGTTTGTTGAGGGTTCCAAGAAGCAGCTGTGCATCTTTTCTCATTTTGCTGACTCGGTATTTGCTTTTTTCCACACATTTAAATCCTGCCAGACATTTGAGCCCACCACTTAGAGCTAAGCAGTAAGCCCAAAGTAAGCTCTCATCTGAGGCAAGCATGAGCTGCAGACAGGAAACATTGCCGTGTGTACATGCGATATCATGGTCTATTTTCAATAAGCTTTGGTTAAGTAGCGCTTTGAGCTTGCAGCACACCGCTGTTCCACTCCTGACTAACTGAAACCTGCGTGGTTGGGTTTCCACCCAGTGCAAAGTATTTATTTTGCATGATAACAAAGCCTCCAGCATTTTCTCACCAATCTAAACCCCTACAAACATTTAAATGTAGAGAACATAAAGCGGTAATCTACCTCTAGAGTTGCCATCTGTGTGCCATCCATGTCAATCCGAAAGGAGTATAGGTGCTCTGGGCTGGGGTCAGGCAAAACATTGCAGCCCTCTAGAGACACAGCAGGTTGGGTTACTTTGTTCTTGCCCTTGTCTTGGTAAAACCACAGCTGTCCATTCTTTATAAGACACCAGCAGGTCCGCCACTGACTGTTCACCAGTACATTGAGGTAGCCTGAAAGAGGATGGAGGAGAAAACATAAATATGAAGTTTCCTTTTTTACTTCTCTTAGAAATTAATACTGTGCAAAGAAAACAAATACTGAAGTCGCAGAAACTTACACTGCGTGGCTTTAAGGTAATTCCACTTGACTGAAAGAAATATATGCTTGCTTGATGTGATAAACCTCACAATTCATACTGGTTCTTACTTAAACCAGTGCTTACAAATTGCTGTCATATAATCTTGTTTGTTGCTGAAAACCAACAGTCTGCCATAGAGGGTGCATATCATTATGGACTAAATGATTATAATCCAGTAGTACTAACATATATTACAATGAGGAGTTTTGACAGAACATCATTAGACCATGTTCACAGTGAGGTTCAAAACAAACTGCTTTATTTTGCATATAACACAGGGAAGAAACAGAGACGGTGCTTTTTTGTATGTCTTGCATACAATCTAATGTTATCTGGACCAACCAAAATGATATGCAGGTGCTATGCCAGCCCACTCATGAGGTGGGTTGAGACCTTTTTGACGGACGCTGCTGGAGTGCATGGTGCTATTATTACCACCAGGAGCCCACAGGGGAGTGTCATATCTCCAGTTTTATTTACTTGCTGTACTAGCAAATGTAAGACTTATCTAATGATGCAATGAGTGTTAATTTGAAAATGTTATGGATATTGAAAGTGGGCGCATCAACAGGTAGCTTTTAGTGAGGACGTTACTTAAAGACACTAAAAAAACTACTTTTCTCTACTTCCTTATTCACGTGTTTTATACTTTGAGTTTTTACATCAGCTGTCCTTCCTGACACAAACACAAAGGGATCTTTGTCTCCTCTTGGAAAACTGGTGATCTTTTGCTTGTTGGGCGAATGTGTAAATTACTACAAGGGGCAAAATCTGTCATGCAATTCAATCACAAGTGTCTGTAATGTCTCCAACAGCAATGTCTTTGTCGTTGTGCTTGCATTCATCTTACATTTATCATGAGATATAAATGGAATTATTGAAAGGGTAATAAATGTTACTACTACGATATATTTACCCTCATTTTAGATTACAAGTCTTTTATGACTCACTTTGATCCTAAGAAGGCTGGACCAGTGAAACTCCCCTTTCTGTCAGTGTGCAGAAATTTAACTACACTTTTAATCATTGAGATATCCAAATAAAAGAAAGAAAAAAGTGTAATTTCAACAATAGGTCGTAGTTTTTTCTGCTGCTGGAGTAAATGAAAGAAACTGTTCAGCATGACTCTGAGTGTAAATTTTAAAATTAACCGGATTAGAGAGTTTCTGTTAATTCACAGAAAATGTCCTTTTTACCTTTTTTACATTTTTATAGGCAATCTTGAAAAAACAGGAACTTTTCTGTTATTTAATTGTAACTGTAATTTCTTACTTAATTACTTTGATGTAGCAGGAATGGCTATGAGAAAGGTCTTTTTTAGTAGGTAAAGCTGCAAAACTTGTTAAAAATACATTTAAAAGCCCAATAATTTATGCCCTACTTCACATTTTCAAAAAGGCATCCAGTTGGCCAGACTGGAGTCTTTGCTGGGCCGATTCTGGCCCCTGGGCCTTATGTTTGACTCCCTTGCCTTAGACCTTCATTAGACCTTTCATGCCAGTACGAATGCCATCCTGCAATTAAAAGCAGCAAACTTTGAACTTTGAAGTTAAGTAGATTTTTGCGAACCTGAGGTGTCGACACATTTCTCTGGGCTCTCGAGTGCGGAGGGTTTTTTCTTGCCGATGTTCATCAGGTTGCTGAACATTAAACCTGCTCCATATTTTTTCTTCACTGTGGAAAAGAGGAGGAGAAGGACGACAAATTGACTATTTTTTCTTTTTACACCCTCTCCTTGAACATGTGGAGCACAGCAGATAAAAGCTGAAACCCCACAGAGGAGCTTACCATCTTTGCTTTCTGGCGTTTCAGCATGGCTGTCTGTGCTGCTGCCGCTCTCTGAAGCCACAGAGTATCTCTCACTCAGCTCTCCCTGTGGATTCATGGCTATATTTTAGTCATTTTGAAATCTTATCAAAAGTCTCATCAAAAACATGATGTCTGATCACAACAGATCAATGTACCTTAGTACAAATAAGCCTTGGGGAGTCAGACACAGTGTGTTGGGGGTCACAGCTATCAGCTGGCTTGGGACTGATCTCTTGAATAACCTGGAGCAAAAACAAGATGTTCTCATTTTGATATTGCGAACAAATAAATAACCATCCAATGATCTCGAAAGCAATCTACTGTGAACGTGTTACCTTCAGCCACTGCTCAGCCTGTTCTTTGCTCTGCAAGCCCAGGACAATGGTCTCCCCACCCACTGGAATAATCTTCAGCTTGTGCTCTTTCCTCTTTAACTGCTTCTCTTTGTAAACAACACTGCAGCCCAGCAGACTCACATCCAGCAGAGGTGTCTGCTCCTTGGAGCTTTTATAGCACTGAGAGAGGCAGAATCAACATGCAAGCTTCGTTAAAAATGAATTACTGTCCTTTAATTTTAGCTGCACGCTGACCAAAACAAGCTAGAAGGTAAATAGTAAATGTTGTCAACCAATCAGTGTTTAGAATAATCAGCAGATTTGTATAGTTACTATGCAGTCTTCTCAACCATAAACCATTACCTACCTATCTAACAGCAAAGTAAAAATTGGGTAAATTCCTGAATGTGTTTATTGATTTGAATCATATTAGAATAAAAGTTTTACAGTAGACTTTTTAAGAAAGTGAAAACAGCCACTCGTGCGAACTCTATGCTTTAGATAGCCTGTTAAAAAAAGTGTTCATAGGTAATTACCCTCTAGAATGCTAGACAGGGCAGGTATTCATGCATTTGTCTTTTAATACCAAGAAAAATATAAAAATATAACAAGTCAGTTTCAGAGGAAGTTGCATATGCGTTGTCACAGATCTATTTCTTGACAGCTGTTCGTTCAGCGCTTGCTATTAAGAATCTCTGGCAGCTGTCAGTTGAACAGTTAAAAAGTAAAGCCTACACACCGGCTTTCTAGCATACAAAATATTACAGGGATTATACACAGCCCTATTCTTTTTAATATATGGGCTAATTTTGGTTTCGATTTTTTTTCTTCTACGTATCACAACACAATCATAACACGCAATATCATAACACAAAACCTCACTGCGGCGTTAATACAGTCGTTTACCCACCAGCAGATGATGGTCTTTGATAACGCAAAGCTGTTTGGCCCACTGGCCAAGCCATTTCTTCCTCCACAGGAAAGCGCAGATGCGAGCATCTTTCATCAGCTCAATAGACGCCTCTGCTGATGGCCACTGGTGCTGAGCTGATGACGACTTCTCTCTGGTCACTTCCTCCTCATCGTAGGACTCATATGAGCTGCTTACCGCCTCTCCATCATCTACAAAGGGCAAGCAAAGCTAAAGATTACGACACTGCATGGGCTACAAGGGATGAAAAATGGCAGGGCGTCGAAAGCAAGGATTAGGAGAAGCAAAATCTGTGCGATGAGAGTGAATGAAAAATAAAGTTAATCTCGGTTTTTTGGACCTTTGTGACTTTCTTGAATGGAGGAGGATTTCCTAAAGCATTGAGCAAACACACATTTTCAGTACTGATGGTAAGCAGACAGGAAAATGATGAAACAAAGTTATGATGAAAGGGAAAATAATAAACTCAGGAAATTGATAGTATGAGGCTGATTGATGATGAAACTGTTTCCTTACATGCACGGCGCTGATAAAACTGGACAACGAGCACTTTGGGGACATGCTGGCTTCCCAATTTGAATTTTGGATTTATGCAATCGCCTGCATTCATGCCACACAGACAGACAAACAAGTCCTAGCTACCCCTGGTGATAACAGCATAGACCACACTGTCAGAGCTGTACTCTCGTATCCAGGGCCCTGAGCGATGGCCAAAACAGTCCAGATCTAAATAATATCAAAGGAAACAGGAGGAAGAAAAGCAACATAGGGGAGATTGGACAGAACATAATGCCTTTGAATAATAATCATAGAAAAGATTACAAAAATAAAAAAATCTTCATTATTGCATTCTCTTTGGCCAATTCACATATGTTTTCTTTTTCAAATGCATTCACGGGCCACTTCGTTTTTTCTTCAAAGCCGCCTTAAGTCTTTGTGGCATAGATTCAACAAGGTGCTGGAAACATTCCTCTGAGGTTTTTGTCCATATTGACATGATAACATCACACAGTTGCTGCTGATTTGTCGGCTGTATATCCGTGATTTAAATCTCTTGAGCCCTGGTGACTGAGGACTCCACCTGAGTACAAAGAACTCATTGTCGTGTTCCAGAAATCAGATTATCTGAGCCTTGTGAGATGGTGTGTTATCCAGTTGGAAGCAGTCATCAGAAGATGGCTACACTGTTGTCATGAAGGGATGGACATGGTCAGCAACAATACTCAGAAGGCTAAGGTGTTTAAATTATGGTCAGTTTGTACTAAGGGGTCCAAAGTGTGGCAAGAAAACATGCCCCGCATCATCACCACCAGCCAGAAGGATGGGTCTATGTTAAATTCTGAACCCAGCATCACCATTTCCAGTCTTCTTTTGTCCAATTTTGGCAACAATCAAGTCCGAAGTGTAGCAGTTTTCATTAATAGGAGTGAGACCCGGTGTGGTCTTCTGCTGCTGTAACCCAAGAGATGCTCTTCTGCATGCCTTGACCATAACAAGTGGATGTTTACTGTTGCCTTCCTATCATCTAAAAACAGTCTCGCTAGTCTCCTCTGACCTTAGTTAAGTATTTTTGGACAGAGAACTCCTGCTTACTGGATATTTTCTCTTTTTTAGATGATTCTCTGTGAACCCTAGAGAAAACAGTCAGCAGTTTCTGGAACAACCATGCTATCACTGATATTCACTTAAACCACCTTTCACTCCCATTCTGACATTCTGCTTGTTGCTTACCTAGGCGATGATTATACAGTATGACTAATAACAAACAACCACAGGCCAAACAGGACAGAATATTCTTTGCAGCTGTGGTAAAAATGTGTTTAGTAACAATTCTGAAGAAAAAGCTTCCAGTACTGAATAAAAAGCTGACATGTGTTACATTCGAACAATTGTTACCTAATTCTTTCCCACAGAGCTGTGAAACGCCGCTATTGCGCAAAAACTGGTAATACAGATTGGTTTCTTATAATTGTGGTGCGGGTCTTACCACTTACTCAGTTATTTGTTCCAGTACCTAGGCAACTCTTTTCGCTTTATTTTACAGCTCAAGCTTAAATGTTAAGCTAAGAAAAAGGCACAGCAGGTCTGAAATGTCTGTAACTTACATAGTTGAACTGAAACAATAAAATATATCTAAATGAAAATGGTCTTAATTTAAAAGAAGTGATTGTAAAATTCAATTTAACAGCGTCAGAATTATGAATATACACTTAAAAAAACTATTTCTGTAAAGAAGCAGTCTCAAATAATTTGTGGCACACACTCACACAAACACGAAGAATTGCTTCAAATAGGAAGGCTGCATTAAAAATAATACTGATATTCTTTGCAGTAGTATACAGCAAGAGCACTGGCTAACTCTGATGATGAATAAGGTATGAATTCATCACCTGGGGCTGTGCGATAGATGATACATCTAACTTTGAACACAGTCCTTACCATTGACAGTTTCCTCATAGGGTTGAGCCTCCTCATAGTAACTCTCTGAAGCGTCTGCACAGGCTGGAGCTGGTACTGGAGGCAAAGGGAACGGTTCCCGACACACCACACCCTGACAGATGAGAGAAAGATGAGGGAGTCAAAAACGAGAAAAGTACCCAAAAAAGAGAAGTGTGGGATTGTAAATGTCTGTGTTTTTGTTCATTTAACTTCACCTCCAAACCTACTGTCATTATAGTTTCTAGACCAGTGGTAATTAAGTGCTCTGAACACACGCGCATACACATGCACACACGCACACATCGACATGTGTTATTCCCACAGGCTGAACATGTGGTTAATCCCAGCTGTCACTTCAGGAATAACTAGGGAATTCCTCGTGTAACCAAACCTCCTCTGACCTGGGAGGCAAGACCTGGTAACTACTAGCACGTTTGCCTTTAGGGAAGAGGGAGTGTTTGTGTGAGCAAGGAAGAAGAGAAGGGTGTCGTATATTTGTGTGTGTGGGTATGTGTGTGTGCGTAGGGGTATATATGTGTGTGTGGCTTTCCTGAAATCACTCAGCAGTCTGGCTTCACTTCTGTCTCCTGTGTGGTAAAGACTGTCTCCCCAACACTTAATGCTTGACTAAAATCAAAACCAAAACAAACACATCTGTCTCCAGTTGTGTTTTTGTTTTTTTGTTTTTTATATTTAGCTTCTTCTTCTTCTTTTTAATGAAGCTCAAGATTTTGCTCGATACATTAGACAGATGTTGCTTGTGCAGCATAATGGCTCCTGAATATTTACACTGTTACAACTGAGCCTCACTCTCTCTGTATCACTTTTCTTTGGGTAAATTAAGAATAAAGCTTGAATCAAAGCAGGACAAGCATAGCACTCTACTGGTAGCTACTGGTAACGCTCTCCAGGAGGATGGAAAAGCAAAGTCACAATAAACTTCTTAGTTCTTGTTAACAATTTAGGCTATTTCTACTTTGTGACTGACACAAAAAAATCACACAAAAAAATAAGATTTTAAAGGCTTATTAAATCTAAATCCACAAACCAATCAATGATATTGTGTGGTTAGACACATTAGTAGACATATAACAGTTAGAAGTTACACAGTAAACTAATCTAGCAGAAGATTCTATTCTATTCTTCTCTATTTTTATGGCCTCCAGGTGCTTTATACTATCAATTAAAGACCGTAGAATAATAAAGAGAAAACTCTCTGTGAGCAAGCACTCTGGCAAGAGTGGAAAGGAAAAACTCCCTTTTAACAGGAAGACATCTCCAGAAGAACCCAGGAGGCTCAGAGTGGCAGCCATGCGCTGCCCCTGGTTGGGGGTGACGTGAGGGAGACAGGATGATAGACACAGTGTGGAGCCAAAGTTATAATAACTGGTTAAATGTAGAGTGGTGCAGAAAGTTTGTCACAGCCATTTGTCAGTCTTATGGGCTGAACTTGCTTCTCTTTTGGCAGTGCATTGGTAGACCATATACAGTCCATCTACCTGCACAGAGCATCTGTCACACGTGTCCAAAGTATGTGGTTCAACCAATCTGTGGTCTTGTGAAACTGAGCTTTGAAAATAAGGAAAAGCATCCACTGCAGCGCATGTCTATGTTTTCAATACTTTATTTTTGAACTTTAATATTTTTTCAGACTTCTTGCACCCTCGCCCCATTCTGGCCCACTTGTCAACCATTCAGCATTCAGCCTGTTGAACAACGTGCCGTTTGGGTTTTTAGAGGAGAACATGGGAACACATTTGCATTGCTTTTGCATTTGTGTTCAAAACTTCTCCCCAGGCTATGTAGGCAAACAGCTATGTAACCAGATATAACCATGGTAGTATAAAACAAGCATTACTAATCAGCATCTTTTAGGAGATGCTTTGAAACAGCATGTGGTACCTTTTATTAAAACTCAGTCTTGTGGGAAAAGCTGTCAACTTCAAAAATGCAGGTAATTTGAAGACCATATTAATTAATCAGGTGTTTATTTTCACACTTTGAACAACCTTAAACCTTTGGACTCATGCATGATGTGTGGGGGAAGGACCTTCCAAGAAGGAAGAATTTCATCACTGGAAAACAGCCTCAATACCCTGAAGTTGCGACATAATCCTATGAAGTATCAATGGTGGCAATCAGAAGATGGCAGATATGCAAGTTTGGTCTTGGTGCAATCTGGAAATAAAATGACTTGCCCGCTTAAAAACTTCAGTAGCTGCCAGTGAAGATGCAATCTATGTATTCTTTTTCTTATCTCAGATAAACTGAGAGATACTGGAGTCAGACTTCCACATAAGGGTTATTCTTCTGAGGCAGTGAAGTTAAAGGAAGTTAAAAAAATTACATATATCCCACTGTTTGAATTCTTTCACTTTCACTTCTACTTATTGAAATTAGTATACTTTAAAGCATTCTGCTTATTTTTATTATATTTACTTATTGTACAGCTTTCACATTCTCTGAAAGGTTGCAGTCCTTCAGCTGCTCTGTAAACAGAATAACTCAATATACCATATGATGAGAGTGTGAATGGTACTTTTAGTTGCCCCAAATCAGCCACGCTTAAAATATACAGAAACAAATGAGAGAGAAAGCAGTGATAAATTGTGTTTAGCGGTCACAAACCTGTGGTGGGTCTTCAGATATCAGAGTGATTTACTGGTTCAGCTTAGAAACAGAACAACAAAAAATAAAAACACAGCCATATTTGTCTGTTTGTGTAAAAATCATTATTTCTGATGTGGGCTGTCAGTGACAGACGCAGCAACTCCCAGTAAACAGGGAATTCCCTGTTAGTGAGCTTTTCCCACCATATCACTTCAGTGAGCTAAGACATTTTCAGTAATCCATAGCAGATGTTATAATAACTGGCGTCATGTCACGGTCCGCGAGCAGTCACAGTGATGAAGACTCACTTGTGTGATTTGCCTGCATGCCTGAACATGGAGGAAAGCAGCCACTAAGCAATGTGTTGGCAGAAATGTTATCACGGCCGTTTAGGGAGGGTAACATCCCTTATACATCATGGAGCTATTTAAGATGCGTCATTATACAAGCATCAGCAAACGTGACTGTCAGTGTGTCATGAGACCTGCTCTCGAAAATGACCAAAATATATAAAGTCTATTTAAACACACAGGTAACTGATGCTGATAATAACTGATGCTGTTACGGGTATATTGGCTCACTTGTGCCCACATATTCTTCTGAACTTTCTTTAATTCGTAAGTGAAACTGTCAGTGTGTGTGTGTGTGTTTCCAGTTAGGTGATAAGCAGAAAAAACCTACCACGTTTTTTTTGATAGCAGGAAATACTGAAGCAAACCAGCAACAGAAGAAGTTGTACTCTTGGTTTAAACACCCTACTATGAGGCAACAGTGATAACCACTGAGATAAGATGTTGGCATTACTAGGGTGTCTATTGACCATTGTTATTTTTAATCACAGGAGTTACATCACTCCTTCTTACTCGTTTATTTCTGTAAAATTATTATAACTTTATAATTTAGGTTGTAGAAAATGATGGAGGCAAAACTAAAATTAAGTCATGTAAACCCCCATTTATCCTAATTGCCAACAGGGGGCTTCAAAATTGAATTCAACTGTAAAGAAATCAATGAAAATATTTTAGATTTTTCCTGATTTATGATCTAGGTAAATTCTCTCCTCGTCAACTTATCATCTCAATTGCTATTTCCAAGTTAGATTTATGTTTATTTTGTATATTAATGTTACATTTACCCCCAGCCAATTACCCAAGTGGCTCAGGATCATGTCTCTGCTTCTTTTGCAGATGATCAAGCGGTGACCTCAAGAAAAACTTGCTGCTGAGTATCAAACTATAGGAATGAGAATTAGCACTTCCAAATCTGAGGCCATGATCAGAAAAAAGAATAGTGCACAAGCTGATTTTAAGACTCTCTAGGTCTGAGTGGAGATGGACATCGAAAGATGGATTGATGTGGGTTTTGGAAGCGATGTGAGCGCTGTACCATTTTTTTGTGATTAAGAGAGTGCTAAGGGAAGCACTGATCTTCCGACCTTCATCTTTGGCCGTGAGCTCTGGGTAGTGCCTGAAAGAACTGAATCATGGATACTAGCGTCAGATATGAGCTTCCTCCGAAGGGTGGCTGTATTCTTCCTTATACGTGTTATACTTGTATAACTATGCATGTGACAAATAAAGAACCTTGAACCCCCTTAGAGGAAATTTGTAAATTGAGAGGGATTCAGAGCCTGGCCACTACTCCACATCAAAAGGAACCAAATGAAGTGGCTTGGACATATGAATAGGATGCCTCCTAGGTACCTTGTAGGTGAGGTCGTCTGAGCATGTCCTGCTGGGAGGAGGCCCTGTAGCAGATCCACGATACACTCGAGAGATTACATCTCTTGGCTGGTGTGGGGAGTGGAAGGTCTTGGCATAGAGTGTGTGCCCTGAGACTTGAGCCCAGATAAGAAAATTGATGGTGGATGGATGTTATGTTTAGAGTGAACAAACAACAATCGATTACGGGTATGACTATCTTGGTATTGACAAGTTTCTGCCATATGACAATGTGCTCTCAGTGTCCTCAACACTTAGATCCACCCCTCGCTGTTGATGCCCTGATTTAAAGTATTCAAGATGACCATGGCCAAAATGCCAAACTCAATCCAACAGGTGACAACATTGTGGCTATGTCCGTTTTTACATAGAGCTCATGGTTTCATAACCCATATATACTGCAAATAACAAGTCAAGAGAGTTAGAGACAAGCCTGGTCTAAGCCTTAATAATAGTTATATACAAAAGCAGTTAACAGGAATTTCCTGAGAAAGTTATTATTCTGTTTCTCACTTCTCTCTCACTCTCTCACTGCAAGAGTGTAAACTTCTCCAGAGTTTAAAAAAAGTAGTCAAGAGTTAAGCATCTGCTATTAATTAAAACAAAAAGTCAGGCATTCCAGAGGAACCGCAGTAAGCCACCCCAGACTGCCCACCCACTCTTATCTCTATCTTTTTTCTTTTTCTTTTTACATTTCCTCAACTCCAAAAATACTAAATTGGCTTGTTGTCTGAGCCAAGACTGAAGAGAAGCATAGTAAGCCATTCCAGGGAGGTGTTGCACTGGTGAAAAAGCATCAGGGACATGCCAGGTGTGTGTATCCATTCTCCCAGAAGACTTTGCTATTCTTCTGTCTCTAATAGTCACTTTAGCCCCTTCCTTTCACTTCTCTCACGCACAAACACACTTCTTCACCACAGAAACATCGACTAGAAGGGAAGAAATGAGGAGTCGGAGGATAAATAACAAAGCAAGGAGAGAGGGTGGCGGGGTGTGGTGGAGGGGCTTTGAGTAAAGAGTGGGAAAAGAGAGCCCAAAAAACGAACAGTCAGAGGAACATGGAAAATCCCTGGTTCCCATGCCAAGAATTCGGTGCAGTGAAAGCACACACACACACACACACACACACACACACACACACACACACACACACACACACACACACACACACACACACACAC